CCACAGTGACACATCAGTAGGCCACAGTGACACATCAGTCACAAGGTATGTGATTGAGCACCTGAAACCTATCTTGGATGGTTTGATTTTAATTTTGAAATAAATTACATGTATTATTGACAAACTATGATTCCAAGTATAAAATTGTTGCTATTTATTTGCTGTGTATTCTTATCCTTTATTTTAAAAAAAACACTTTATTTGTATTTTCTGAAACTGTTATGATAGCCATTTTGATGAAACTTATACAATGATATCATATTTTGAGTATAGAGACTTCACCATACTATGTCATGTGTTGCTATTCTATATATTCTAGATGTCAGCGCTACAAGCCGACCTCCATTGGAAGAATTTTTATCAAGGTCACAAAAGTATGTATGACAATAGTATTATGCAGGTCATGTTGAGCTGGTTTAGCTCCCCTGGGAAAATTTTTGCACAAGTGAATCACTAGTGAAAAATTGCTTGCCTTGACAGGAAATGTCTTAGTGTTGACATCACTCATTGTGGGTTACTCATGCACCATTTTGGTTAACAATTCCACCCCAGAAACACAAGCAGGAAGTAATTAAACATTTTTTTTAATATCCACAGTGCAGCGCCCTCTACTTCCCAGCATGAACGGAAAGCTAGTGAAGGTGACTTGAGTATATCAGCCAAACAAATGTTACAAGACTACATTGAACTGGTAAGGGCTTGCTATCAATTACACTGTATTTTAATGATATTGTATTTACTGAACATTATTTTAATAATTGTTTAATGTATTTTTCTGTCAACCAGTTAAAAACCAAACTCACACCTGAGGAACTACAACGATTTGCCGCCATTCTCCGTGAATACCGCGAGGGAATATCTGTTCATGAGTTTTGTTCCAGACTTCAAAAACTATATGGACTTGAAAGGAAATTTCTTTTCCCAGGTAAGTCAGTATTTTTTTTTATCTTCCCTATCAAAATGTTGCATGTACCATGTAACCTATGTTAATCTTTGACTGTGTGCACAGACAAACTG